ACCTAGAAGCTGAAGGTGGTCGATCACCTAGAAGCTGAAGGTGGTCGATCACCTAGAAGCTGAAGCTGGTCTACCACCTAGAAGCTGAAGCTGGTCTACCACCTAGCAGTTGAGGGACAAGCAGCTGAGATCAAATGGAAGAAGATGGAGGATTTACTTGGCAGTCAGAGAGTTGAAGGCTGACTTCCTCTCATTTAGAGCTTCTTGGAGTTGTCCGATCTGAGCTGAGGTGGACCTGGAGTCACAGGAGGGAAACGTGTTTAATTAGCAGATCCTGAAAACATCTGATACCTTTAAGCTTTCTTCTAACCCCCGGTTCTGGACAGCAGATGGACCCACCTGTTGGAGCGTCCCAGCTCCTCCCTCTGCCGGTCTATGGTCTCCATCAGGCTGAGGAGCTGAGGGACAGTAAGGACATATAGATGTTGGCTCTTCCTCCAGCTGAGAGGTAAAAAGAGGAGATGATGAAGGTTACCTGCCGGCTCTTCTCCTCCTTCAGCGTTTGAATCTCTCTGCTAAGGACCTGGGTCCGGCCGCGTCCTTCTCTTAAGGTGGACTCTCGTTCTGTGTTGCGTCCCGTGGTACTCTCTACTCATGAAGAAGAACCACATGTCAACATTTTCCTGACCAACCCTTGTTTCTAGAAAACATTTCTATAGACCATCCAAAGGAGGAAGACTCCTCCGGCCTTCATCCACCACTGGCTCTCGGATTAGACGTAGATCTAACCACATAGACTGAGCTGAGCTGTTTTTCCTCATTCAGACCTTTGGAGGCCTCCTCCAGCTAAGGAACCCACCCAGAGCTTTGAGGACATCACTGGGTACGTTGTTTCCTGCCATCTCCAGCTGGACTAAGCTCTTGTTCTTCTGCAGGGCCTCCAGCAGGGACCTCCCCCCCAGCAGGCCCACGTTGTTCCACCTCAGGTCTGGAAAGGTCAGTTGGCCGGTCGTTAGTAACAAAGTGGACCGACCAGATTTCCTGAAGCTCTCTAGGAGTTCTTAAGATGTTTGGGTCATTAGTAGGTCAGCACTCACCCAGCGCCTCCAGGGTGCTGTTGTGTCTCAGGGCCAGAGCCAGCTCTGCCGCGCCGCCGTGGTTGATTTGGTTGTTCCGCAGGTCCAGGTGGGTCAGTGTGGCGTTGGACGCCAACCCTTCACAGAACACGGCGAAGGCTTCCTCCCACAGACCCAGAGCGTTCCAATCCAGAACCAGCCTGGAAACAGGGTTGTTCATTATCAGCATCAGGTCAGTCATGTTTCCATCATGTCAGTCATGGTTTTATCAGGCCAGTCATGGTTCCATCGGGTCAGTCATGTTTCCATCAGGTCAGTCATGGTTTTATCAGGCCAGTCATGTTTCCATCGGTTCAGTCATGTTTCCATCAGGTC